AATTCTAAATCGCGGGGATATTTAGCACTGTCCCACTGAGCGTGCCATTTTGTTTCCCTTGAAAATCGGAAAACAACCGTTGATCTTCCAAATTTGACTTTGGTGACTCACAGGATCGATCAGATTGATCCTAGTACATGTGCTAAAGTATTCTTCATTTAGAATTAGATTTAAAGTACTTGTAATAACGAATTGGTAAATGTGCTTGTAATGAAAAAGACTTCGACTGGGTATTTTAAAGTGCATAAACTTAAAGAAACACTGTAAAAGATTTGTAAAAGGCTGATCGAAGAAGGTAAAAAGTTTAAAGGAAAAGAGTGGAGTAAAGGATGCAGGAAAGGTAAAGGCAAAAAGGTAACACTTGCACAAGTGGTTTGACAGAGGAAATGTAAATGTTGCTGAAATTGTAAAAGACTTTATTGAAAAGTTGGTGATTTTACATAACGTACATTCTGCGTGAAAATACTCTTTTCTCACACTCGGGTACTTTGAGTAAATTTGATTGGAGTTACTTTGTACAAATGGTAAAACACACAGAAATCTGTCTAACAAATCCATATTTATAATGCTAATAATTAACTGCTAATAACTTCCTAGTATCTCCTCGATCTAACAAGTGTCAATTGCATGTAACGTCCTGCTCTAGAACTCGCCACGTGTCTTATGAACAGAACCGCTCCCTCCAAATTTTGAATTTCAAAACGACGTAGCAATCCTCTTGCAGAATTTCGGTCGAACTACCTGTAACACGGTTGAAATGCTCATAATTTTAGGTTTCTTAATTTTTCTAAGTTATTTCAACTGTTTAGCATAGAAGATTCCTTAGAGGCAGTCGAAACCTTTTTGCTTCATTTTACTTAGACATTAATTATGTCTTAATGTTTAGCAACCCAAGACAGTGTCGAATTTGGGAGCTAACAGCAGTACAATGTTATTACCGTTTTGATTAGTCCTATACAGGAAAAAATAACTATGCTGAAGGTGAGAAACAAGGAACATACAGTGCCTTCATAGCCTCAGCATATCATGGTCATGACTATGACTGGTATTTTGACAGTGGAGCTAGCAATCACGTAACACACCAAACTGGAAAAATCCAATACCTCACTGAAAGCAATGGTAAGAATTCTTTGTTAGTTGGTAATGGAGATAAATTGAAAATAATTGCCTCAGGTTCAACCAAATTGAGTAACCTCAACCTGCATGATGTGTTTTATGTGCCAGAAATCACCAAAAATTTATTGAGTATATCTAAGTTAACTGCCGACAATAATATACTTGTTGAATTTGATGCAAATTATTGTTTTGTGAAGGACAAACTAACAGGGAAGACACTTTTAAAGGGGAAACTTAAAAATGGCCTATACCAACTTTCTGATGTCAGTCCCCAAATCAATAAAGACTCGTGTGTCTACATGTCTGTTAAGGAAGAATGGCATAGAAAGCTTGGACATCCAAATAATAAAGTTTTGGAAAAGGTGTTGAAGGACTGCAATGTGAAGATATCATCTAGTGACAATTTTACATTCTGTGAAGCTTGTCAATTTGGCAAATCACACTTGTTACCTTTCAAATCTTCTTCCTCTCGTGCTAGTGAAATTTTAGATCTAATTCATACTGATGTATGGGGTCTTGCTCCAATTCTGTCTTCATTTGGGTTTAAATATTATGTTCACTTTATTGATGATTTTAGTAGATTCACATGGATTTTTCCCTTGAAACAAAAATTAGAAATAATTTATGCCTTCAACCAGTTCAAAGCTATGGTTGAAAATCAATTTAACAAGAAAATAAAAATGATTCAATGTGATGGAGGTGGTGAATACAAACCAGTTCAAAAAATTGCCACTGAATCAGGAATTCTATGCAGAATGTCTTGTCCCTACACCTCTCAATAAAATGGTAGGGCTGAAAGAAAGCATAGACATATTGCTGAACTAGGACTAACACTTCTAGCACATGCCAAAATGCCCCTACATTACTGGTGGGAAGCCTTCTCCACCGCTGTCTACCTAGTCAATAGATTGCCATCATCAATAAATCCAAATAATAGTCGATACTCCTTAATTTTCAAAAAAGAACCCAACTATGAGGACTTGAAACCATTTGGTTGTGCCTGTTACCCTTGTCTTAAACCATACAATCAACACAGGCTTTAATTCCATACAACTAGGTGTGTATTTATCGGTTACAGCAACTCACATAAAGGCTACAAGTGCATCAACTCTCATGGGAGAATTTTTGTCTCAAGACATGTGATCTTCAATGAGAATCACTTTCCTTTCCTTGATGGTTTCATTGACACAAGAAATCCATTAAAAAGACTGACTGAAAATACATCTATTATGTTGCCTAATTGCCCTACAGGTACCACTACAAACAACACAACTGAACCCGACAACTTGGCGGAAAACCAGCATGAAGAAAACTCAACTGATAGTCCAGTTGATAGTGATACATGTGAAATTCAACCAGATCTCAGTGAGTCCTTTGCGAATGCGGATAGCAACACATCAAGAGAAAGCGAAGCAGATGATTCAACCTCAGCAGAACCAGTCGAGAGCAACAACCAAACTGCACCCGAGATTAATCAACAAACTCATCAAGACAACACCGACACTCATTGGATGCGCACCAGAAGTAAAGCTGGGATTTACAAGCATAAGCAGCCTTACATAGGACTGGTAGAGGAACATAGAGATGATAAAGAACCAGAAAATGTCAAAGAGGCACTAATAAAACCAAAATGGAGAGCAACTATGGATGCAGAATTCAAGGCCCTAATGTCCAATCAGACTTGGACATTAGTTCCATTTCAGGGTCAAGAAAACATCATAGACTCAAAATGGATCTTCAAGACTAAGTACTAAGTAGATGGCTTAATTGAAAGGAGGAAAGCAAGATTAGTTGCAAAAGGGTTTTAGCAAACAGCAAGCCTAGACTTTGATGAAACATTCAGCCTAGTGGTCAAATCCAGCTCAGTAAGAATCATCTTGGCTATTGTTGTACATCTTAATTGGGAAGTTAGGCAATTGGACATAAATAACACATTCTTAAATGGAAGCCTTAAGGAAACTGTGTTTATGTATCAAACTGAGGGATACATAGACTCAACCAAACCTAATCACATATGCAAATTATCCAAAGCCATCTATGGACTAAAGCAGGCTCCAAGAGCATGGTTTGACAGCCTAAGAAACACTCTACTAAAATAGGGGTTTCAAAACAATAAAAGTGACTCATCCCTTTTCACTCTTAAGGTACAAACCATATTACATTTCTCCTTATTTATGTTGATGACATAATAATAACAACAGATAGCAACAACAAGTTCTTGAAGACATTCATCAATCAACTTAATGTTGCCTTCTCGCTGAAAGATTTAGGACACATACATTATTTTCTAGGTATTGAAGTTCATAGAAATGATAGTGGAATGTATCTAAAACAAACAAAGTACATAAGGGATATGCTTAGGAAGTTCAACATGGAGAAAACATCAACTTGTCCAACACCAATGGTAGCCGGTAGATAATTCACTGCTAAGGGGGAACCATTGTCTAATCCTACTTTGTATAGACAAGCAATAGATGCACTGCAATACCTGACTAACACAAGACCTGACATTGCATTTGCTGTCAACAAATTGAGTCAATACATGAGTTCACCTACCATGGATCACTGGCAAGGGATAAAAAGAATATTGAGATATCTTCAAGGCACGATAGATTTGTGCTTGCACATAAAACCTTCTAATGACCTTGACATAATAGGGTTTTTTGATACAGATTGGGCAACTAGTACTGATGAGAGAAAATCCATGGCAGGCCAATGTGTATTTCTTGGTGAAACACTAGTTTCTTGGTCCTCAAGAAAACAAAAAGTAGTGTCACGATCAAGCACAAAATTAGAATACAGGGCTTTGGCTGATCTTGCAGTTGAAGTAGCATGGGTTAGATCACTACTGGCAGAACTAAAGTTACCAATGCCTAGAAAGCCAGTCCTATGGTGTGATAACTTAAGTGCTAAGTCACTTGCATCCAATCCAGTTATGCACGCTCGTTCCAAACACATTGAGATAGATGTCCATTACATACATGATCAAGTCTTACAAAATAAAGTCACTGTGGCTTATGTTCCTACTGCTGACCAGATTGCTGATTGCTTGACCAAACCTCTCACTCACACAAGATTCAACATGTTGAGAGACAAACTTGGAATGATTGTGTCACCATCAGTTTAAGGAGGGGAGTTAGAGAAAAGTCAGAATCTCATAATTAATTATTAATGATCGTAACTTAATTTCTATGATATGGTGATCCTTAATTATAGCAATCACATATCAATATATTTACTGCATATCATTCTGCATTATTATAGCAATTACTGTAATTACCATTAGCATGATTCTAGGATCATGGTTTCATATCTCTACGTGTATTTAAGCATACCTGATCTATGTAATATGACAGCAAAAATAGTAACAATTTCTTTCTATAAGCCTCTTTTATTGCATCAATGAACTCTTTGTCATCATGTAGGAAGCTCATTGCAAAACATGATTCTCTAAAACTTTTGTGTTTGAACCCCTCAATTATCTTTAAATCATTATAACATGTTGGCCATTTCTTCACAATCAACAACATCCTCAGATGACACAATTCCCCGGTTTTTGGCGGGACCCAAATGAGTCGGCCAATTGTGTAACCTCTTTTACATGGTTTCCAACATCTTTTCCTCTTGCCATGAACAAATTTTGACAAAAATTGTCCATATGTTAATAACTTTGCTTCTTCATACTGATAATTTTCCAGAAATCGAGAAGTGAACATTGATTCTGTGACACTTGGTTTAAGAAGAAGAGTTCCAATTTGTTCAAAATCTTTGGAGTATACAAAATTCTCTCCTTCCATGTGAAAAATAAATCTTTAAACAACTAGTTTTCTACTATGAATTGAATAAGAGAAAATTCTCCAACAAGCTTTGTTTGGTGATAGATATCAATAATCAAGGTACTGTTTGATTTCATCAATATTTCCATCAGTTCCAGTGTTATTTTGAGCAATAACATGTGAGATCCTATCAGAACCCTTGTTGATATACTTAAATATATATTTAATTGAAGTACTTGGATTGCACCACTCCATATTAATGTGTGTCTCATATTTCATCAGTAAACTTGGGTTGTGTGGTACACCATGACCGCGATGTAGCGTGACTCTATTTTTCTCAATTGCATTACCTTGATCTCTCCTTATATAAATTGGATATCCATCTTGATCAACAACTGTGACATGTTGAAACTTCTTAGGATAGTACTTGGAACACTTACCATCCTTCATGCAAGGGGATTTTGGATTTGCTAACCCACAAGGTCCATGGACCATGTGATTTTTCACTAGATTATACAATTTTGGTTGTTTCAAAGGATATGGAACTTCAGCATATATCATTTTGTCTATGTCTTCAAGAGCGGGATGTTTATTTGATGGATGCAAGAAAATAAGAATGTGTGCATGTGACAAATCAATCTTTTGGAACTCAATTGTGTACATATCTAGAAATAAGAACAATTGTTAAAATATATATATAAACATGAGAATTGGACTGGTTGAAATAAGTATATATCATTATAAAATTAAAATATGAATACGCAAAGAATAAGGCAGTCGTAATAATGGAAAACATTGGGGTAATAATGGAACCAAACTTTTTTAGAATTAGAAATCATGACATGCCCATTTTTGTAATCCGCTTAATTAAATGTCAATTTCATTGGTCCTTCCCTGAAACCATTGTGTCGTCATATTTGAAAATTATTATTTTATAACATACATATTCTAATAACGCAACAAAATAATATTCATTCATATGAAACATTCATTTTTAAAGTAGTGATAGGGAGATTAGTGGATAGTAAAGAAGAAATGGTAAACTTACATGCGAGAACTTTGCCTAAAACACCTTTTTTGGTCATGTCCGCTAGAAGATTATCAAACTTCATTTTAGAAATTCTAGCAATGATATCAGGTCTATCTTGTAGATTCAAATTTAGAGGATCAAACAATCTTTTAATTTTTTGCCAATTTGGATTGCATGTGAATGTAAATGAAAAGATCCGAAAATTCCACATTACTACAAATTGTCATGCCATTATAGTATAACTGATCCATAAATCTCAATATGACTTTTTTTCCTATGCTTGATCCTTGTGTTTGATCTTGCTCTGAATTTAGACTTGTATACTTTGAGATTCTTAGTTTGGATTGATTTTTTTCTGATCCAATTCAATCTTTCTCCTTCAAGCATTGTGTAACCATCCACCAAAAACTATTGTAACAATCTCCTAACGATAACAAAGTTTTGGCCTCACCACACCTACTTTGGATTCTAAATGTTAGTCATTCTCGAATAGTAAACCGGTTCCTTTGAGTGTCATAAAAAATGTCAAGACTTATATGTGCCACATGCCAAATAACTGTTAGGAAAAATCAATGGATATTGGTATGCCAAATAACCGTTAGAGAAAAACAAAGCATAGAGAAAAAAGAGGAACACAATAGACAATCAGAGAATAATACTATGTGAAAATTGTTACAACACATAATATACCATCAACTAACATAAGCACCAATACACCCACAACCTCCAAAACTATTATTTAACTATATCTCACAACACTCTAAAACAAGAGTATAAGAGAACAAAGAAAGTCAAATACAAGCTTAAAGTGCTTTTGACTGGTGCATCTTGAAATGAAGAACTTGAATCTTATATATAGCCTTGGACTTTCTCTTACTTCACAAAACTAAGCGATGTGGGACTTCAAAGAACTTATATCCTATATATAGCCTTATACTCCCTCTTCATTCACAAAACTAAGGAATGTGGGACTTCTTCAAACATGTATATTTTCAACCAACCCCAACAATCTCCAGCTTGATTGAAAATAATACATAAACTTTCATTGTCTTCACCAACAATCATACTCCAATATAAAGAGTATCAACTTGTATATTTTCAATCAACCCCAATAATCTTCACCTTGATTGAAAATAATACATAAAATTTCATCGTTTTCACCAACAATCATACTCCACCATAAAGAGTATAGTCACTTGAAGCTACACTACTCCAAGAATTTTTCACATTGTCTTCACCGACAATCATAATTTTAAAAACTATCATACTTTCTCATGAAAAATATATTTCACTTGAAGATAAACCACTTCAAGAATTTCAGATTGTCATCACCGACAATCATATACTTTATCATGAAAAATAAATTTCACTTGAAGTTAAACCACTTCAAGAGTTTTTCATTGTATTCATCGACAATCCCTTTTTAGCCAAAAATTGACAAAAATAAAATAGAATAAATGTAAGTGAAATCACACATATGGAAGCATACAATTAAGATCACTTTTAGATGATCCTCCAACTCCTGTCTTTATAAAAGACCCTTCTATACTCCTTCTATTCTTCTGAGATTTTTATACTTAGTCTTGACCATTTGAATACAACTTATAAATCTTCATTCTACTTTGTTTTTCTAAAATTAACAAAAGCAACACAAATGATAGTAAAATGAAAATAAAACTAAGTAAAAGTGGTGGATTAAACAAAAAAAAATCTTAACTGACGATAAAAACTAGACTTATCAAATTTCCTCATGTTTCAATCATAACTTGTCCTCAAGAAATTTTCTTATATAAAAAATATTGAGATTAAGCATTTGTTTCAAAAGAACTAAACACAAATGCAAATATTTATAATTTCAAATTTTTAGAGAGGCACCAACCTAGATCTTAAGTTAGAGTTTTTTTGTTAAATTTGTTTAGATCCCAATCCTAAAAGCTAGTTCAAATGTGTGACATTGTCCTCACATATTTATACATTCAATAATCAAAAAACGTGAGTAATATAGGACTTCAAACAAACTCCAACAACACAAATACATATTGATGTGGGTGAAGATTGTAACACCCTTTTTCTACCCCAAAAATATCAAGGCAAGATAATACAGAAATCAGAGTGAATAAATAAATCTCATTACAAAGCCATTAAAAGGGCGTACATTTCTCAAAGTCATCAAAATAGGTCCATACTCCGTAACTACGGGTTTTTCCCAAGATACATCAAAACATTATAAACAGTGGAACTCAAAGCATAAATCAAAGTTTTCTTCAAAAAGGAAAATTAATCAAAATAACTTCAACAATATAAAATCAACTCAAGGAATCCAACCCGATGTTACATATCAGAGCAAGACCCTCTAGGCTGACCAAAAGACTAAAACACTCAAAAACTTCAAAACTAACTCCTCGCCGGCGTCCACGGCTAAACTGGATCATCTGCATGTTACCCATGTAGAGGTAACATTCAAACAGGCAGGGTGAGTAAAACAATTCATAATAATCAATGTATAACAATTAATACATAAACGACATCATAATCATATTCAACACATTCACATCCTCAAATATGCCCCAAAGGCCACAACGTCATAATATATACAAAAGACTCATAAATGCAATGCAACACGACTCAATGCATGTGGTACCAATCATCACAGCTCGATGGACACTGGGCCATCAACCCTCCATAGATCCCCATCAATAGGATCGATTCTACTAGAGAACCGGAGCACATCAAAATACTTCACATCCACACAGTGGGATCGAAGCCAAAGTAATCGAGGTCCTGAACCGATGTCCGGATGCGCATGAATGCATGATGCACACGTCACAATAACAATCCTCACAATACAACATATGGTGCATCATCATTCATCATTGTCGCTACTGCGAAAATCGGCGCCGACTAAACAGAAGAGTCGCCACCGTGCGTTATTTATCCCAAAGGAGGGAAAGGAAACGCTCAGAGTAAACCTTACACAAAGACGGGAAAGGAATGGTCATCGCAACTAAATCCTGGATTCGGGAGTCGGTTACGCAAGGGGAAGGTATTAACACTCCTCACGTCCGTCGTACTCGACGGGATCCACGCTTGTTTTCTAGTACGGATTGTTATTCTATCTATTCTACAGTCTGGGGTTAAAAGAAAATAAAATGACTCGGCAAAGTATCGCACTTTATGCCTACGTATTCCGTCTGGAACGAGAAATCAGAGTCGACGTAGTTCGCCTACCTACTGGAAAGGAGGGGAAGGTTGCTCGCTAGGATATCGCATCCTATGCCTACGTACTTTCATACAGCATGAAAGATCAGAGCAAAAGTAGTTCGGGCTAAGAAAGACACAAGCTTATCTGAATGTTTTTTATCTCCTTATGAAAGGGTTTTTCCTGATTAAGAGTCCAAGCGGACAAAAATGACACTTTGATGTTTGTTATCAGTCTTTTACGCAAGAACTGTCTTTTATGATGTTTGCAATCTCTGACGCACTAGAGACTATGATTTGAGGGTGACTACATCGTATGTCACCCTAAGGGTGACACACTAAGAAATCAGGTTACTGAAGAGTGACCCTCCAGCAACCTTTCTCAAATAGCTTAAGGCTCGTAGCGTACGACATCGATTATCCTTATTACTGTGTTTTGAATTGTTCTGAGATAGAAGAGAAAGAAGTCTAAAAAATCCTAGGGTTTGGAAGGGGAATCAAAACTACCCTAATGTTGTCATGCATGGATTAACACCTAATGTCTGTTATAATTCCCTCCTGCGCAAAGGAAATCAGAGATCCTAGGGGATAAACAGAAAAGAAACAGCAGATATACAGTAAACAGTAAAATGCATGAGATGCAGCAAAACAAGCGAGGCAAAGGAATCATACTCAACCTCGAACCTGGGAAAACAATAGGCAAAGTGAAACATCTTCACCTCAAACCTAAGGGAAAATCAACAGACAATACATCAAAGAAAATCACACCCAATACCAGCTCAGACAGCCACACCAGCTCTTACAGCAAGCATATCAAACATCACTAGCTCTGGCAGCTACAAGTGATTAACAGCAAAAAAGTTGACGGCAACACCTTCAGGCAAGATCCCATCTTCACTCTCCAATGATATTCAAGCTTCAGATAAACTCTTATCTCCAATAATCTTCAGCTTTAGCAATCAATGAATCCAAACAACAAACAGCTTCAAGCAGCAGCAAAACCCTGATCTTCAACAGATATCCAACTTTGACAGGTACAAGCTTCCTCGTATCCAATCTTCACTGAACTTCTTATCTTCAACAGGTCTTCAACTTCAATGCAGACACTCACAGGAGAGAATCAACTAACAAATGAGGTTGTAATGTTAAGCTGCTTAATGATAACCCAAGGAAATCATTAAGACCTTAACACAGCAAGTGAAAGGTATCCTCAAAAGTTCTACTCTCTAGGGTATGCCCCACTTCCCTCCAAAGGAGATATGGAACTTCCCTAAGAGGACTTTGCATCATAGGATAGAATAGAAGCAAACAATGCATTCTATGTTTGATGGAAGAAATGAACTAATTCTACAAAAGCTCTCCCTAAAAGCCTAATTCTACCAACTCCTAAAACAAACTTAAAAGAGAAATAAAGCTCCACTACAAGCCCCACTCTTCTAGCCAAAGCATCTTCATCATGTCCAGAAGCTCCTCTAAAAAGGAATCCAAAGTCTTCAAGCTCCAAGTCCACCAAACGCTCCAAACAAGGCAAAGCACTCAAGAGAGAACACCGAAAGCAACAATCATTTGCAAAACCCAAAAAAATAGCAAAATAAATTGTAAAATTCTAATAAAATTCCTATGTGAACATGCATGTTTGAACATTCTAAAATTCCATAATCAGGACCTAAATCAATTTCTAGGTCATCTAAACAATTCCTAAAGGAAATTTGGTCATGGGAAACCATTATTTGGGAAGGCTCTAAACTACACACCTAAAACAGAATCTAATCAATTTTAAAAAATCTAAGAAAATTCAAGGGGAAACCTATGTATGTCCTCTAAATCACATCGAAAGAATCAGCTCAAAAGCATAAAGCATCAAAGAGAACAAAATTAAACAAACAGCAATATCAATTATGCATAACAATGGATATTAGCACAAAAGAAAATTCGTAACTGATTCAAATAAAATCCTAAAAATGAAAACTCAACTCCTACAGTTTCTTAAGAAAACCAAGATCTACAGAAAAA